GGTGATGAGGACACGGACGGCCGCAGGTTTAGGGGGTCATATGATGTTTGTACGAGTCAATACATTGTTTTGTTGAAATACACCACTCATTCAGCCAATCGGCATTAGTTTTGCAGCGGCAATTTTTCGACATTTAACTTCTAAAATTAGTTTTTTTGAAGGCAGATAGTGGCACCAGATCAGAAAACATGTGGTTCTGGAGGGCTTTTACAAACAAAGTGTGTTTTCATTTGTCCAACGACCATTCTGCACTGTTCTTTCACGTTTGGTTGTCCCTGACCCCTGAACGTACTTGTAAAGTACTTGCATTTAGTTGTCACCTTCTGAGCATTGCCCAAATTCAGTTCCAGCAACCGGTCCAGAGAACGGAGGCAACATAATGCAGAGGTTGTAATGCTCCTGCGGGAGAGGGCTGTTAGTGAGGTGTCGGCCCACCACAACTGCTCACACTCATAGATTCTCCTCTGGAGGGACGAACACCTTCCAAGAGATATTCCCTTATTTGGTGTCCTGTTAGTGGCGGCGAGCGCTGTCCGACATGTTGCTCCAAAATGTCGATGTTCAGTTGGCAGAGGCCGAAGCGTTCGATTCACGTCATGTTCAGAAGCCTCTGTGTACATTATGTTTCTCCTCTCATGTTTATTTCAGGTTTTCCCTTTAATTTTTGTATATTTCTATATGTATTCCTACAGCTGATATTAATTAAATAAATTGCAAAATGGCATTCAAGCAGTGGCATTAAACATGTGGCGCTCTTGTTTTTTTTGTTGTTGAATGTTAACTAAAGGACGACAATCCTGCAAAAAAACAGAAGACAACTAAAAACCAGCCATGTTGAAACCCCTAATGGGACGTGCTTCCCCCCCCTCCAAGTAAAATATTCCTCCTCTCCTCTTTGGGTCAAAATGTTCTCCCCCACCCCACACACACCTTCAGCCCCTCCACCCTCCTTTATTTATTTTTTTATAACTGGCTGCAAATTCACTGCTGTTCAATACCCAGACAGGGTCAATTCCCCAAACAATGTGTTCGGTGTCACAATAAAAAGGGTGTTCTTTACGGCGCGTTGCAGTAAAATGCTATTAAACAGATAAAACACCGGCAACGAGCATCAGGAGGATTATAAAAGGAATTGCCTTGATAAACTCCGCGTATCTGCGCGATGACACGCCAGCAGCTCTGCTCTCCTCTCTGTCGCCGCCGGGGAGGAGGCGGGGAGGCAGACTGGAGGAGCACATTGTGGGGGGGGGGGTTTACACAGCACTACGGCGCCACCATCTGGAGAGATTGAATAAAGAAAAGAAAAAAGAGGCTCTGTCAAGACTGCATGTCATTCTGAGGCTTGAAAGGGAAAGACGTTGAAAAAAAATTATTAAAATTAAATTCATTCCAATGGAAACTTTTTGTTCCTGCTGCTTGTGAAGGCTTCTGCATTTTCAGGAATTAATTGATTTGTCAGTGAGTGAAAGCTGGTTGGTGTTCTTTGTTTTTTTGTACTGCTTTCTACATCACAGCAGTGTGTCACATCTGAATGAGTACATTTCTACTTAAAGACATGGTAATGCTGTCACCAGCATTGGGTGTATTTTTTTATCTTTCTGTGGTGGAGAATCTTGAACCAATGGTTTCATGAAGTGTCCCATCCTGAGACATGATGGTGCACAACATTCTGTCTCAGGAAGGATTGGGTAGTAATTAAAACTGGTTCGAGACCCAAGTTGGTTGGAGGCGATAATTTGGTAAATTGAAGCACAATCGCACAATGATGCATGAGAGAAAATCCCGTCATTGGCTTGTGTTTGTCATGAGGTATTCCACCGTACCTGCAGATCCCATTAAAATGGTCTCCTACTTCCCTCTGGTGGTTACTGGGAGACAGTGGTGGGCCGCCAGGGCCTGCAAGGCCTTCTCTGCTGGCCTAAACAGAATCACAAAGCTATATCTATTTTAGAATTTAATAATTTTTCTTAAATACACTACATGTATTGTAATTTATAAAATTACTTTTCCCATTATCTTATTTTCTCATTGCACAGCTACTGTCTTCCTCAGTTGCTCTGCTTCCAGTGCAGCTTGTTTTAAGTAGAGCTTTTATCCAATCAGATTTCACCTCTGTGTCTCTAGGTAAGAAGAGAGGCCTGAGGCCTGCAGACTTACAAGTGAATCCATGTGCAGTTTAAGTGAATGGGGACGATATTGTTGATTGTCATAGTGTTCAACCAATCAGATCTTTAGTTTGACATGTTGGGCGTATTCTTTGACGTGTCAGCGCCTGTGAGCCGGCCTATAATGATGTCAGCATTACGTGCAGCTCAGTGTCCATGTACAGCTCTTGCCGCGAGGTGCAGAGTGTGCTGTGATTGGTCAGTGGGCGAGCACGTGACTATCGTGAAACGAAACTTAACAGCAGAGGCTTAGTCGGGTAGTGAATCACATCACGTGATGCAGCTCAGCCAATCAAATATGGGCATTCTGACTGAGTGAAATGTACCACACACCATGACACAGGGGACTGAGACAAGGAAAGACATTGCAGAGCAGTAATCATAAGACTATCTCTGTGGGCTGTGACTTGTCATTAAGGAATGATGGTGGGTCCCACAGCCAGACCAGCTGAGAACCACTGTCCTCCATGAGCACAGAAAACATTATGTTTTCCTGAATATAAGCTTCTGCATTTTCCAAATGCTCTAGTACTAATCAAATGTATTGTAAGCCTCGTACGTAGTAGTACATTTAATACGTACATAGTTACAGCCTTAGAAACTAATAACTGTGGTGCCATCATGTGGTTATAAGGTGATATTTCACTGTTGAGTGAAGGCCCAGGTATAAAATGCACGGCCCGCCACTGCTGGGAGAGCGCCTTCACCGAGGCATTTGTCAAAGCAGACATTTTGACTTGGCATGGAAAGCACAGGAGTCACTAATAACAGTAGCAATGGATCTCTTTTCTTTTCAAGTGTCCCAGTAAGCCAGTGGTTCTCAAACTTTTTCTGTTGCACCCCACTTTGGAGGAAGAAAAATGTTCATGCCCCACCGCCCCAACAAAATAACAAAATGGTCTATGTTGAATTTTTATTGAAATAACATTATCTGACTCCTCCGTCTGTGCTTTTTCAAATAATAGAATAAAGAAACTTGCAATCACTTTTAAGTAAACCAGATTGCTCCATCAGACAAAAACTAATAAAATGTGCAATCACTTTGTTAGAACAATGCAAATAAAGTTATATCTGTGCAAAAAATAACTACAATTTGGCAATAAATAGCTTATTGCAATTGGCTGCAATTAACCTGTTTTGCACTAAACATCTTTTCAAGATAACAATAAAGTGCAACTTGTGAAAAACTAAACAAAACAAGTTCAAATATTTGGCGATAAAGAGTTTTACACTGCATTTTGCTTGCGGTATTCATCAAGTTTCCTCTGAAAGAACTCCAGTGGCTTATTGACGTGAGTGGGGTGTAATGTCTCCAAGTGTCTTTTTAATTTGTTGGGTTTCATACTATCCGCAGCTAGAGTTTTCAGACATTAAACATAGACTGGTCTCTCCTCATCTCCTACCGCGTTCACTGTGAAACCCAGAGCAAGATAGGCGTCATCATATTTTGTTCTTGGCTGCTTGCTGTTCGTCTCGGATGCATCGCGGTGGCATTAAGCGGTTGCTTTTCTGTTCCCACCTGCCAAATGTCTCTTCATTTGGAACACTAAGCCACACATGTGAGTCGCCAAGGATCATGGCCGTCGCACATGTGCAAGCGTAACCTGTTAACGGCGTAACGTAAACATTTACACGAAAGTACAGGCATTTCGCCATGTATTTATTAATTAATTTTAAAAAATAATTAATTAATTTCCCCCTGCGCCCCACCTGTAATACCACCGCGCCCCACTAGAGGGGCGTGCCCCACAGTTTGAGAACCACTGCAGTAAGCCATGACCAGCCGGAACATTACCAGGACCCTGAAACTGAAGCAGCTAAATGGAATAGAGCCATACTTCATTTTAATATTTACACCTGTGCTTTGAAATGTGGAAATGTCCATGCAATAGTGTTGGTACAAGTATCTGTGTAGAGATTGTTTACTCAGTTCGTGTCACGATGATGCACACCAGCCAGATGGTAGCATGGTGGGACAGTGGTTATAGCAGTGTCACCTCACAGCGAGAGAGTCCTATTTTTAACCCGCCAGGCGTGTATTCTCTCGGTGTGTATACTCTCGGTGGTGGAGTACTAAGTTGCCCTCACGTGCGAGTATGAACGATGACAGAGAAACGCTCATGGATGGACCCATACCACCCCCCCTAAAAAAAACAAAACTATCCCCAACATTGCAATAAAAGAACCGAGAAAAGGTTCTTCAGCCGACAATTTTCAGTGAAGTGGGTTAATCATCTATGGGAACCAAGACACTGTTTCTGGTAAGACAAGTTGCTATTTCATTTGTTTATGTATTTTTTCCCCACGTTATCAGCAGCACAAATACAATTAATTAATGTCCACTTTATGGAGGCAGACGTTTCAAAATCAGATAACTCAAAACCTATACATATATGCAAATGATAGCTATCTGCATGAGATATACCAAAAGGTAAAATTAATGTTTAGTGATTGGGTGGACTGATCATTTACAATAACTGGTGTATTGAACGTGTATTATTGTATTTAAAAAAATCAACTTTTGGACTTCTACACTATTAGAAAAAGGGTATATAAGTAGAATGAGTGGTGAAAGAAGTACCCTGACCTTTTACTTACATAAAAGTAGCAATACTTACTTGTGAAACTACTAAATTCAGAATCCTTCTTAAGTAAAACAACAGTAAAAAATATACTTTGAGTACACAAATTAAAATTACTTCAAGCTTAATCTATAATAATACAGTATATCATAATGTATTACTTTATTTCTACTCTAAACTGGCAAAGTAATTATTATTAATAAAAGCACAAAAAGTAAAATGTACAATATTTGCCTCCAAAATGAGAAGAGGTATAAAAATGAAAATACTCAAGGAAAGTACGAGTACCTCAAAACTGTAAAACATATAAGTACAGTACTTGAGGAAATATATTTAGTTACAACCCTCACTGAAATCATCTACACCTACCATATCTATGGCTTATTCAAACCAAAACTATTTTCACAACCTAAAAATATAAAATATAAAAAAAATGTTTTCTGTGATTTAGGTGAACCTTTAAACGCCAGTGAATAACAAGCCTTTATGTCCGTGGTGTTTATCTAACATGGTATTGTTGTTGTCGTTACATAATCATTAAGCTGTTTATTGTAAAATGTAATTTTTCCGAACGCTTCACGAGGCGGGAGGCTGTCGTCATGTTCCGCTCCTCCTCGGTATTTTCCGCCCGTCTCCGTCCCCGCGTCGGGCCTTTCCGGCCAGCGTCGCCAATCTGTTTTCTCGTCCTTCTCCAATCTCCGTGTTGTTGTTCCCGGTGACGCGGCGGAGGTGTAGCCTGACGCGGGCTCTTACGTGTCGGCCAGAATAAAAGTGGAGCTCCGGAGGCCCGCGAGTGACGAAGGGAGTCCGTATCGGTAAGGACGGAGCGGTGTCCAGGGCTCAGGGAGAGGCGGCACGCGGCCGTAGGAAGTGTCGGTCTGGTCGGGTTCGGCCCGAAGGGAACAAAGAGATCATGGCGCCGCGGTGTGTTTGTAGCAGAAGGGAGGGAGGGGAGGCTGCGGCGGTTTGGGAGAAACGGAGCAAACTGTTCGGCTTTTTGTCGCGAACCAAGAGGGGCAGTTCGTGTGTTAACACGTCAGAAACTGTGATATGACTTTAGCGTTGAAAAAAAATACACTCTACTGTCAAATTATGCTCTAACAGACAGATTTATGCGCACATGTTTTGCGCCGTTTCCCAGCGCATTGAACCCCATCAGTAGCGATGTTTATTTATTTCTGCTACTTGCCCGATTTAATTCGATATTTTCGAATTTATGTTTTTTACACGCGCTCACTTTGTCGATAACCGTCTCGTTTCTATTTCCTATTCATTGTATCTCGATAGAAATAGGGCTGTTTTTACAGGCCGTCGCGTTTGGCCGCACACAACATGAACTCAAAAGGCCTGGAGATTTTTTTTAACTCGCTTGTTGAAGTTGTAAATAAGTTTTCTTGTCTCCCGGGGATGTGGCCGGTGTGTGTGCGTCGAGGGGGGCGTTGCTCCGGCCATGTGGCTCCGCTGTCACACGAGTGATGTTTTGAAAAGCAGAGGGAGAAATGTGTGAAGCCAATCATGCGGCGAGAGAGCAGCTACGCACCGCGTGAGATCACCGAGCCACGCGTCCCCAGATCAGCGCTCTCTGTGCCGCCCGAGGTCCGATCTGCGGTCCCGAAAGGGCCTTTTATTGTTGGTGATGAATGCAGTGTAGATTCAGAGCCAGAGTTTAAAGTGTGTCTTCCACAGAGTTAGTTAGTTTCTCCTGTGTAGACTCTGTTGAATCCCAGAAGTTATCAGTGGTGGAAAGTACATTTACTCAAGTACTCCGCAATTTTGAGGTACTTTAGATATTTACATTTTCTGCTACTTTTCTATGTTTACATGGTTTATTTATTTGCGATTTTACAGCACAGGGGTTGCACAATGGAATATAAGCTGATGCCACCACACACACACACACACACACACGCACAAACAGAATATGTATACACATGTAGAATCGAATAATATGAAGTGAAATCAAGTGATGTATACACTTACTTATATCCCAAACCTAATGAGATGTTGGTTTATTGTGGGAGTGAGGGTCTGTGGAACCATCTTAAAAGAAAGTTTAAAAGTAAATTTATACACTACGACAAATACTGTATTTTAGCTTTTATTCCACTTCATTTATTTGATAATTTTAGTTACTTTACAGATGAATAATACAAAATGTGATCAACAAATCAGTTATGATGTAGTTAATAATTATTATCCAATGATGTAATACATATTAGTCAGAAATGGGCAGTTGTACATAATGTCTACTTTAACCAATATGATGCCAATACTTGTGTACTCTTACAGGAGTAATATTGAATGCAGGACATCTACTGGACATCTACTTTTTAACACAGTATTGCTACTTTTATTAAAGGCAAGGCAAGTTTATTTGTATAGCACATTTGAACTACAAGGTAATTGAAAGTGCTTCACATAAAACCATTAAAAACATAAGGCAAAAGGAGATTTAAAAACAATTAAGAACATTCATTGAAACAATAAAAACAGTCATTAAAACACAAAAAGCAGTGTAAGAAATAAAATAAAGTAGTAAAATGCAGGAAATTGATTAATGTCCTTGAATATGGTTCAATTAAAGGCAGCAGCAAACAGAAAAGTCTTCAATCTTGATTTAAAGGAGCTGAGGGTCTTAGCAGACCTGCAGCTTTCTGGGACTTTGTTCCAGATATGTGGCTCTGGGAACAGAAAGTAGACCAGTCCCAGACGACCTAAGGGGTCGGGGATGGTTCATAAGGTAGCAGCAGATCAGAGATGTATTTTGGCCCTAAACCATTCAGTGCTTTATAAACCAACAGCAGGATTTTAAAGTCAATTCTTTGTTGGACAGGAGGCCAGTGCAAAGACCTCAGAACTGGACTGATGTGATCCACTTTCTTGGTCTTCGTGAGGACTCGAACTGCAGCGTTCTGATTGACTTTTTACAGAGACCTGTAAACACAGCGTTACAGTAGTCGAGTCTACTGAAGATAAATGCATGGACAAGTTTTTCCAAATCCTGTTGAGACATAAATCCTCTAATCCTTGATATATTATTTAGGTGATAGTAGGCTGATTTTGTAATTGTCTTGGCTGTTCAGGTCGAGGTCTGAATCCATAACTACAGCTAGATTTCTGGCTTGGTTTGTGGTTTCTAACATCACTGATTGAAGCTGAGCGCTGACTTTCAATTGTTCGTCCTTGGTACCAAAAACAATTACTTCTGTTTTGTCTTTGTTTAATTGAAAGTACAAGATCTGAGTTTCTTCTGAGATTCTTCCAACACTTATTATTGTTGTTACAGTTAAAATACAATTCATTAAAAACGTCAATCAGTTTCCTCTCTATTTAATTAATTATTGAAATATTTTATTTTTTTACATAAACTCTTTATAATAATCTATTCATCCAACACAGTCACTCACAATAATGATGATTTAAACGCCATAACAGCTTTTAGAGCTTCTTTACTAACAGAGGGAAACGTATAAATGTTTGAACTACAGATAATGGGTTATTAATCTTTATATGAGCTAGTCAGCCAATAGGGTGTCATCACATCTTTTTGTTTCTGTTCCGTTTCCATTAAAGTCATCCATATTGTTATCACAATAACGTGCTTCTCTTTCACCTTTGTAAAACCTGTCCATGCTTGCAACAAGGAAAGCCATTTTAGTGATGATGCATTCAAAGTCACTGATGACGGTTGGCCATTAAAAGTATCATTTAAAATTATGTTTTTTTACTCCAGCTGGCTTCCTTTGTTCAACATTTAGAAAGGTTCAGGAACAGAGGTGTTTCCTAATACAACTCAGAACAATCTTCTCAATTTTTCAATCATCTCTCTTTTTTGGAGACTGTTTGTTGACTTGAGTGAAACCTTGTCACCAACAAGAAATTCATTTATACGGGTATATAAAAGAAATATATATATATCAACACACGGGATTCCAGAGCATGTCATTATCCAGAACAACGGATTTTACACTAAGCTACACATGCTGGAATGCTGAAACAATTCATCCAGACAAATGTGTAACAACTGGAACTCCACGCCTCCTTTGTGGCCCTCCAGGTGCATTCTCATATTTTCCCACAATGCATTCAATATTAGTACAACTACCTTTAAGTGAAACGCAATCCACTGTGACACCACAAACACACAATAGAGTGACTGTAGAGCAGAATCATCAACTCTCAACAAAAACTGAACGCTACAAGATTCATAAATGTAGATTTATTTATTTTTTTTGCACCATTTTAAACATCTATTGCTTTTACTTTTATTTCATTGAACATTTTACGCACTTTACTGTAAAACAAGGTGAAAACCTCGTAATGCATAAGAACCCATTTATTATTTTATTAAAACATAATTTAATGCCAAATCAATCTTCTCTCTTTCAGTCACAAATGTATTTGTCTTATTTAAAAAACAACAGCAAGGTTCAGTGGATCACAGGTACCACGTTTCCTCATTTTCAAACAAGAAACCACTTGTTTATAGTGTCGTTACCGGTGTAATAAACTAAGATGGAACTGTTGGATTTCAATTTACAGATAAAACCCACAATAGATACGATCAGTCATCATTGTTCAGGACCAGTTTTCTCACATTTCTGACCAGCGCTCCACCTCATAATCCACCAAGATCCAGATGTTTTTATCTAGCGCACACATTCGGCCTCTCACACTTTTTAGAGTTCAGCACCTGTGACTCCATGCTGAATTTCACCTTAGGCCAGAACAAGGAACTTAAATATTAAATATCCATCCATCCATCCATTTTCCTCCGCTTATCCAGGGTCGGGTCGCGGTGGCAACAGGCCAAGCAGGCCGACCCAGACTTCCCTCTCACCGGCAACATGTTCCAGCTCATTCTGGGGGATCCCGAGGCGTTCCCAGGCCAGCTGGGAGATGTAATCCCTCCAGCATGTTCTGGGTCTTCCCCGGGGTCTCTTCCCAGTTGGACGTGCCTGGAAAACCTCCAGTGGGAGGCGTCCAGGAGGCATCCTAATTAGATGCCCGAACCACCTCAGCTGACTCCTTTCGACGCGAAGGAGTAGTGGCTCGACTCCAAGCTCCCTCCTGATGACCGAGCTCCTTACCCTATCTCTAAGGCTGAGCCCGGCTACCCTACGGAGGAAGCTCATTTCGGCCGCTTGTAGCCGCGACCTTGTCCTTTCGGTCACGACCCAGAGTTCGTGACCATAGGTGAGGGTAGGAACGTAGACCGAGTCGTAAATTGAGAGCTTTGCCTTCCGGCTCAGCTCCCTCTTCACCAAGACGGTCCGGTGCCTCGCCTGCTTTACTGCTGCAGCCGCACCAATCCGTCTGTCGATCTCCCGCTCCATCTTACCCTCACTTGTGAACAAGACCCCGAGATACTTGAACACCTTCGCTTGAGGTAGGCACTCCGTCCCCACCTGGCGGGAGCAATCCACCGGTTTCCGGTAAATATTAAACATAATATTACATTGCATTACAGTCATTTAGCAGACGCTTTTATCCAAAGCGACTTACAATTCAGAGTCTATCACATTTCTACAACGTAGGCACAGCTACGGGAGCGATTTTGGGGTTAAGTGTCTTGCTCAAGGACACATCGACATGCGACTAGCGGAGCCAGAGCCGAGGTTCGAACCGCCGACCCCCTGATTGAAAGACGGCCCTGCTATCCACTTAGCCACAATCGCCCCCATGGCACACGTTTTTATTAAACATAAAATTAAACATAAAAGATTTAATGTTTAATAGTTAATAACAGATTCATGGGCATCTGGTCGATACACTGCGGTTTGAGATTGCAGCGTCATTCTGGATACATCCATTGAGGTTAGGCAAACATTCCTATGTGATGAAAATGTAAGAATAATTTCTTAAGGTATCTGCACTTCATTTCTGCCGTGTTTGCTTGTATGTGTTTGTTTTTTCCAGTTCGTACCATCTGTGGTGCTGATCAACAGATGCTGGCGGCTGCAGATTTTAACAGCCTCTCCCCGAATCTTCATCCTCACCTCAGCCGATGAAGATGGAGACCGTGGAGGTTCAGCAGGGACTGGAGGCTGTTGTGACTGAGACCGAGACCCAGCACATCACCCAGGCGCAGATCGCTACTCTGGCACAGGTAACGGGAGACGTGGGTATCGAACAGGCCATGAGGATCGGGAAGTGCCGCTGGTTTGCCGAACATTTTGAAAGAAAATAACAATTGTAAAATGTAAAATAAAATAGAAAAGTTTGGCGTTAAAGTGCACGTGGCAGACAGCCTGATCATGTCACCTGTGAATTTTTTAGGTAACAATGACAACAGGGCACATCTCAGCAACCGGTCCCACGGTAACACTGGTGCAGCTTCCCAACGGACAGACGGTTCAGGTCCACGGTGTGATCCAGGCCGCACAGCCGTCTGTCATCCAGTCCCCACAGGTCCAGACCGTGCAGGTAAAACACACACACACACACACACACACAATCCTAGTTTTGGCTGTTTTTAGATTTAGCCACAGGTTAAAGAGCATGAAGTGAGAGGGTCCGTTGGTTTGTTCCAGATCTCCACCATAGCAGAGAGTGAGGATTCACAGGAGTCCGTAGACAGTGTCACTGACTCTCAGAAGCGCAGGGAGATTCTGTCACGACGCCCCTCATACAGGTAATGTGTGTGTGTGTGTGTGTGTGTGTGTGTGTGTGTGTGCGCGCGCGCGCGCAACACTTTCAGGAGACCGGCAAAACAATTATAATACCTCATAACTAAAGCAAACTAGGCACATGTTTTTTTTCGCTTTGTTATTTACACATTTTAGATGGCATCCAGCTGCATCAATCAATATTTTCATATGATTAATAAAACTCAATATGATACAAAAAATTGCATCTACAGTGCAACACCAATTCATTTTTTTTCAGCTCTTTTTGATTTTCTCCCCCATTCAGCTCTTTCTATAACTAGAAGATGTATTGATTGTGGGAAAAGCTTGTTTACTGTAAACAGTGATAATAAAATACTTGCAGAAAAAAAAAAAGAACAGTATCCAAAATCTGGGGATAAAAAGTTATTTCAACCATTTGGCATATTTTCTTAGTGAAAGTACCCAAACAACGAGGATTACATGTATGAGACATGGAAATGACCATTGAAAAGCTAACGGTGATACTAAAACTGATGCAATACTTCACATGAAATAGAACTCCCGTTGTCGTTTTCCCCCCGACAGGAAAATCCTGAACGACCTCTCGTCCGACGCACCGGCCGTCCCTCGTATCGAGGAGGAGAGGGCCGAGGAGGATTCCACCATCGCCGCCGCCACACATTCGATCACCACCGTCACAGTGCCCACGCCCATCTACCAGACCAGCAGCGGCCAATACAGTAAGTGATGGTTGACTCGGTGCAGCCGTGTCCAAGGTCGCAGGTGGACGACTTGCCCGTCACACCTTGTTCAAACGTTAAACGTGTGCCACGATTAGGGATGGGTGGCCTTAGGATTTATTAATCTCTTATTTTTATTGCAAAAAATATATATTTATTATAATACTCATTATTATTACTATTACTATCATTATTATTGTTGTTATTATAATTAATAATACGAATTGTTATTATAAATAATAATAATACAAAATAATAGGATTAGAATTTATTTATATATAAAATATAACAAATATTACAAAATATTGTTTTTTATTATAATAGTCATTATTATTATTATAATTAATAATTGTTTTTATTTATAATAATAATAACGAATTCAGAAAAGGATTACAATTAATTTATATATCAACTACAACAAAATATTGTTTGTAACGGGTGCGACAGGAAAGTCAATATACGAGTTCAATATTCTCCCGTGAAACAAATCTTAGTAAACCAGATCATATTCTTGACATTAAAACACAGAGTGAAGTTTGAAACGAGCGAGCTGCGGCTTTAAGAAGTTTGTCCATTTACCTGACATGAGCCTCGGTGCACACGTGAGTGAAGACAAAGGGAAACACGCAGAGACATATTGACCATGAACGGTCGACTATTAGACGACTGGATCTAAGGAGCCTGATTCCACGGATAACGTTGCAGTCGAATCGTCGCAGTGACGGGAAAATGTGGTGATGTCATCACTCATAAATAACAACATCATAAGGCCACTGTTTCAAAATCAAGGACTACATTTATTAATCACGAGCCCTCACATAAACGCAGCACCGTCAGAGCGCAGGAATTTTTTCACATTTATGAACGATCCTCGAAACCCAGCTGCTCGCAGGTTGCGTCTCTCTCTGACTCTCGTCGTTGGCGCTCTCCTCCCGTCTGGGTATATTGCTACAATGGAGAACATGGAATTATGAAGGAAAGCGAGCAAGATAAGAAACTGTGTCTCTTTGTCTTAACGATCTCTGATCTGTGTCAGTACTATGGACACTACACCACACTACACACACACACACAACACACACAGAACAAACAGTAAATGATTTAGTTGTTTTTACTGTTTTTTTATTGATACATAAAGCTGAATATATATATATATGCACACACACAACACACCTGTGTAAGTGTGTAAATAGTCAATTGTTCGCTAACTTATTGCCACAACAACTTTATAAGGTGGAAATGTGTGTCTGTCAGCTTGTTTTAGATAAATATATCTTTTCAATCCGGTTGTGTACTCATCCATTTCCCCGGTGAGCGGTTCTGTTGACAGTGGATCTTACGAACAGTTGGAGCAGGTTAAACACATGTTGACAACGACTGGTGAGCAGAGCTGGACGGCCGAGTGTTTCTTCTCTCTCATCGTTTCATTCCTGTTCTTTGGTTTGTTCCCTCTCGCCGAACACACAGTCGCAATCACACAGGGCGGAGCCATTCAGCTGGCCAACAACGGCACGGATGGAGTCCAGGGCATCCAGACTCTGACCATGACCAACGCAGCAGCAGCTGCCCAGCCCGGAGCCACCATCCTCCAGTACGCGCAGACCAGCGACGGCCAGCAGATACTGGTTCCCAGTAACCAGGTGATGGTCCAAGGTGAGCGGGCTGAATCAATGAAGCTGTGTGTAAAAGGGCTGAAGCGTGTGATGTGTTCATTTTGCATCGAGATCCATTACTTTTGAATGTATGTATTTATTTTTATTATGAATCCTTTCAGAAAAAGCATTTTTTTTCCTTCCTAATCTTGGTCATTTTCTGCTGATATTATTTTCTATTTATAGTTTTTTTTAAATTTAAAAATAATATGTGACCACACCTTCCAGCCTCCTCCGGTGACGTCCAGGCCTACCAGTTCCGAGCGGCCCCCGCCAGCACCATCGCCCCGGGGGTGGTCATGGCCTCTTCCCCTGCCCTGCCCACCCAGGGCGCCACCGAGGTAGTCACCCGCAAACGGGAAGTCCGCCTCATGAAGAACAGGTATGAAAAGAGGGGGGTCGGGGGGTGTCTGCTCTCAAAAGTGGCTTTGCTCTGGCATCAGGAATTCCCCAATAATCAAAAATAAAGGTCAGTCTGGGGTAGGTGATAGATTTATTAAAAACCAGACAATAGGATGACGATAAATAAATGACACAGCATTCACTGAAGTGCCCCCTGAATATGAATAAGAAAGACAGCATCCCCGGGCGCCTGTCATTGGCAGCCCACTGCTCCCTATATACAGGGATGGGTCAAATGTAGACAAATTTCCCCAATAACGGGATCAATATAGTATAACAAATAATAAAATAAATGTGTCTCGTCCTTCCTACAGAGAGGCAGCGCGGGAATGTCGCAGGAAGAAGAAGGAGTATGTTAAGTGTCTGGAGAACCGAGTGGCCGTCTTGGAGAACCAAAATAAGACACTAATCGAAGAACTGAAAGCCCTCAAAGACCTGTACTGCCATAAATCCGACTAGTTCGTTATCCCGACTGCCCGACCTTCCACTTTGCACACGGCTCGCTAATCCAGTCCTACTTCTACTACCTTCTCTTCAGTGGGCTGTCAATAATCATTCATTTCAAAAATACACACAATCTTTCCAATATCAATACACCAAAACAGCAGCTACAATCCAGCTGCTGACAAGTTAGTGGAACACTGTGCTCTTCATTGTAGGGGTACTACACTGGACAGCAGAGTCCAACGAGGGCAAGGACATACTCTCCCCGGGGTTCATTTCCACCATCTACATGGTCTCTTTTTACAGCCAGATCACGTCAAACTGAATGGTGGACTTGCTCATATTGAATGGCCTCCCTGGACTGTATGCAAGCAATAACGCCCGACAAATTGCCCTTAAAGCATCGCCGTTGCTGCTATGGTTACCTGCAGTGAAAATGTGCAATTGTTAAACTCTGTTGAATGAGTCACATATAATATATTTATTAATGAGTATTTTCACTGTTTAACTTTACAGTCACTATGATGAGTTCAGTGTCAACAGTCAACTGGCCAAAATTATGACAAGAAAAAAAAACATTGAAAGTATGTTTATCCTAAAACAGTGTCTGACGTTTCGGTTTCAGGATGTGAATGAATTATGATCTTCTAACTTAATCCACATCGACTTTTTTCAGAAATATGGCCACCAGTGTAGCGGACTCTACAACTAATTGGACACAAACAAGTCTTTTTTTATTTTATTTTTAAGATTCTACCAACGGCCGATCTTTTAGGAGGCGGAGCTGCGTGTGTCAGCAGACGGTAACTTGGCCACAACAGACGGTTGTTGAGGTGCTAATAAAATGAGACCATTAGCAAGCCGAGGCACTGTTTTATAGGAAGATTATTGTTTTTACGACTTGGGGTTCCATATTTATATTTTTGGCCAACATTTTATAAGTTAAAGTAACATTACTCGCTACCTTCGGTCTAGTAGGGAAGCAACACAAGAGGCCGTTTTACCTCAGTGTAAACTAATCTGAATGTTGAAGTTATTACGCAACCTGGTTGCTTTGACTGACAGCACTTAACACGGTTCAGCGCACAAGTAGTTTTTTAGAGGCAAAGCTCAATCTTAATGATATATATATACGTATATATATATATATATACCTATCTTTGGTTATCCAGGCTGGCTAGTATATATATATATAGACCCAAGTTATATGACAGATACAGATGGGTGAGTAGAAGGTTGTCTCGTCAAAGATTAGACTCTAAACAGATAATAACCAGGTTGTACAAAAGCGCACATTTAAGTTATTCAAACAGACCTAAATGTTCGGTCATCTCATTGTGCCACACTGAACGGTCAGTTTGTTGTCAAAAACAAAAAGACCGCCATAATCAAAGTTATCATTCTAACGTGACATTCATTTTTCTGTTTTTTTTTTACAATGTTGTGTCTGTTTGCAACGTCTGTGAATTAAATGGTGGTACAACATGGATCGAGATGGCAGAGCCATTTATTGTAAATGTGTAGCAGATTCTTTGTGATATTGGCTACAAATACATGGGTTTAACCCGAACGATCCATGTTATGTTTTGTCGGACTGTGTGTTTGTCGAGAAGATACGTGTGCGTATTTGTCCGTTTATTTTTTTATATAACTGTACAGAGTCTCTACGGCATGTGTAGACCTCGTGTGTTTTTGGTTTGTTTGATATGGGAAATATTCTTACGGCTTGTACAAAACCAACTTTTGCATATTTGTAACATGCATTAATGTATAGTAGAAGACAGAGTACGTGTGTGTTCATGTAATCCACCAGGCCTACCACCGTCATGGCAGCTAAGTGTGTGAGAAAAGGCCTTCGCTGGTTATATTTCGGAGCGCTGTGCTCTGTTTGTTTGTAGAGAGCAGTCAGGTTCCACAACATATCAGGTGCTTTTTTTTGGGTTAATTCGAAAACTGCACAGAACATTTGTTGGTTTCACACTCATCCACACATGGCTATGTTTTTAACTGGAAATGTACTATTATCTCAGCAGGAATGTCTCCATTAACAACGGTTTTAAATATCTTCCAATTGATCAAATGAAAGCACAACTTTTCCTTCCTTTTAGGCACTTCATATTTATTTTACTGCAAAATTACACTCGATTTTAATTTAAGATACAAGATATATCAACCCAATTATGTGCTGATTTAAACCGTAAACTAACCTGAATCCTCTCTGAACCAAAAATATTTGACAGTTTTGGGGTAAAGCATACTTGTTTGTTATGGGAACTCTACATTCTTACTGTTTCCTCCAGCTCACTGTTGATGTTTGAAACTTAGCAAACTCATCGAGATGGAGTTACATCTGGATTTGCTCAGTTATTACGAGACTGTGATGACAGGTGGGCGTGAGATGATGAACCCTGACTCCGTTCAAAGATGGTCTTTGGTTTATTTGGTTGAAAGCTCCAAAAGCTAGTAAGTGGCCCTTGAGTTGAAAAGGTTTTTACCACAAAGTTTCAAAACCTCAAGTCGTGGGCCGAGAGGAAATTTGGGGGCACCGATGTGCTCCTTACAATTTAGTTTTGTTTCTTTTATATCACTTTTAACAAAGATCACCAGTTCACGGTAGCTCTGTCCATTTTATTTTTCTAACTTAACATGTTGATATTGTACAGTATATATCTCTTTGTAATATATAGAGGATTAAAGGGTTGAATCATCTAAAGAATTCACAGCAGCACCTTCAGAAGGATTTGGATGAATCATCTCATATCGATCCACAAGAGGAGAGGATAAATTGTATCACTATTATGGAACAACAGAGGGATCAGTGTCGGGGGTTTAAATATGCTTGTGTGGCTGCAGAGCACTCAAAACTTTTCAATACTGGTGCCATTATGATACCCGAGATGCTGAGATGAAAACTTTCGTACGTGTATTCTGGCGAAGAAAAGAAAAAAAAGTCCACCTTTTTGCAATTCACACATCTATAGTACTGGTGCTGAAAAAAACAATCTTTTTGTTTTGTTGTTTTATTACACTATCTTTTCAACAAAACCAAATGGAACAGTCTATACCCACGGGCCTCACTTGTGCATGAAACAGATTGATATCCATGTGTGTAAAAGTATATATAGAGACTTTCTAGAACAGTAATAATGTTTTTTCTAACTTTTAATGTGATCAGTTTCTATATTGCCACTTTTAGAAGTTATCAATTTCAAAATGCCATGTATTGTATAGCATTGTGTAGACGAGGTCACCAAATGATGTGTTGTGTAGCGTTCGTTTCAACGTTGTCACAGTATAAAACTATACCAGCTCATTATTGGAAAGTGCTGTTAATCTGACATTACATCCCTCTTTTGTAAACACTTGCTATGTTGCAATAAACTTCTCTTGAAGATTGTTATGTATTGTGAATTAATTAATCAATCAACAATCCGTTCATGACAGACACTGAACCATGAAGGGGTCATTTGTTCACATAAATAAACATTTACTTGAAATACTCTATTCAAGTGAAAGTGCAGTTTTTTTAAATCTTGTTTAAGAGAAGGAAAAGTAGTATTATCAGTAAAATGAAGTATTAAAAGTGAAACACTCATGCAGACGTGATTTTATTCTTTATTATATTGCATATGCATTCATGTGTACGCAGCATTTTAATGTTGCACAGTGGAGCTAATTTGAACTATTTACATTCTGTTGGGTAATTAAATCTGTAGCAATGCATCATATTTAATAAAGTTATATGTTTTGTATGTAAAATCTTCTCATCAAGTAACTAGTAACTATACATATCAGATGAATGCATACTAGTAGAATATTACGCCCAGAGAAGATGTGATATTGCTTGAATGAGGAGGGATGCTGATTGGCAGGTAGATGCAGTAGAATAATAGAGGACGGGCTTCAGTTTCCACCGTCAAAAAAGGGTGCGGGTCGGTGACGATACCAAAATAGTAGCGTTTTAAAATACAGTTCATCGGTTTAAATCGCCTTCAACAGAGAGCTCCTTCAACCAATGTGCGGATCCAACAGGACATTGTTTTGATTTATCAGCCAATGGGAGTGAATGGAATTTCTAAGTAGGCGGGGCTATAACATCTCCGTGCCAAGTGGTGCCGTATGTGAAGTGAGCTCCGGCAACAGATGGCGGGGAGTACACCCAGCACAAATCTGACGGGGTGGAGGCACTAATGGGGGAGTCCGGACCATCAACTAGACTTCTTTACCTAATGAAGAACTGGAACAAGGCGTAGTCAATCTGACCTCATTGAGAATTTCTTTCTTACAGTCTTGGATTTTTCTCCTTTTGCCTTAATTTTTCCACAAGAGGCCGCAGAAACCTCGGGCTAGATTTGGCTACACACCGACCTAAGTGCATAACGTCTGCGGGATTGTTTGGAAAGTCTCGTGAAATGTTTTTTGCCAGAATTTGGCGGTTTTGAATAGTAACATTTTTTTTAGAGTAAATTGTCGGTACAAGATAGCTGTAATTTATGTGGAGTATAAACAAAGTTAAGGAGACAAGCTAACTAGTTAGCTAGCCTGCTACAATGCTAGTTAGCTACCTAGCAGCGAAACTCTAGCATGTTTGAATGAATGAATTGGCGACTCCCTGCATTTAATTAACAGCTGCTTTATGTTATTACAAGAACAAGTCGAATAATTCATGAGACGACACCGATTTTCTACAACAGGGTGAGCCTGTGTGGCAAACTCTTCTTTGACTGTTACACTACACAACGTAACCCTCAAATGGACAGGAATGCGGCTCCAGGGAGTTGGTGGACAGCGGCGATTTAGCACGCAAAGATAGTATTGTGCTAATACCGTCAAAAGTCAGGTAATGTTCATGAAGCCAGGGGAGGCTAATTTTAGCTAGCTACAAACCTTTTGCACTACTTCGACTTGGCTGCGATAGTGTGAAGCTTACGCCCGCTTCGGAATGGGGAACACCGTGTCATGCTGCGCCTCTCCCGAGTCGAGCCCCAAGTTACCGTCGAGACAACCCGCAGAGCGGCTGGAGGAGTTCCAGACCAGCACCGAAGTGAGCGACGACAACACCGTGCCCTACCTGCAGCACATAAGCGACAGAGAGGTCCCTGACGGTAGGCGTCCACCTGATACCCAGCACACCTGTGACTGATTTTAAACAGCTTTAAAACTCTCACTTTCCTTTCCTGTATTAGAGCACATGCACGTCACACCCATGCTGTTTACAGGGATTTTCATCTTGATCTAGTCGCTGCCATAGTGAAGAAGCTCCTTCACGTGAATCTAAGCATGCCGACTTTGATGACAGATAATCCAAATATCCACCACATGTGTGCATGCGCACCCGGTTGTGTCAGCATAATGCTAACACTAGACACACAAACAAGATCAATCTAATGACTTGGTGATGCATTCTCTTCCACAAGTGCAGGGATATGTACTCAGACGCCCTCTTTGGCTAGTATCAAGTTGCCGGATGTGTTTATTGCCATCCCGCCATGATCAGTGCACTGATGATGATAGTCTTCTCACTAGGTATTTGGGAACTGCAGCATCATGTTGATCACACTGACGTCACATCACCCAGTCAGACATTAACAAGGAAAACAAAAGTCCCTCATCTTCTTGGCGCCACATTATCTACTTGGAAATGAGCGATAAAAACAAACCCCTCATCATTTATTTATTATTGTCTTTTACCAGCCTCAGTTTTATTTCCGTGGCCTATTATTGAGAGGGGTGGGTGAGAAATAAAACTAGTAATAGAGAGGGATCACGCCTTAACCGGAACAAACATGCTTTTAAAAAAAAAAAATGCATCTGTGCACAAACTGAGTCTTGTAATGTGCTACTCAGTGACATTAACTTAGCAGCACCATGCCCACTGCTTCAGAGAGACAGTTTAAACTAAGGTTAGCAAATGGGACATGTCTTCAGACAATAATCCCCCCCTCACACTGTGATACAGGCCCCTGCTGGGGAAAGCATCTCAGAAATGTCCCTGTGATATGGGCCCGAGCTTAGTTTTGTACTCTAAGTCCACTTGTATCGCCGCTCCCAGACATGTGCGGTCTTCATACCATTCATGTTGTTGTGGACAGTAGTGTGTGTGTGTGTGTGTGAGAGCAGCTGTTTGGTGAGAGCAGCTGTCGGCAGGGCGAGGGGTCAGAATCTGTCCAGCAGCCCTCCCCACATTCCTCATGTCTCTTCTTGCTGTCCTCGCTCCACAAACGCTCCCATCGCCTAATCCCCCAGTCCTTTATGTAACGCGCTGTCTGCTCGGATTTAGAAAGAGAACACCATTCTCAAAGACAATGCTCGTGTACGACACAGTGCTGTCTGTGTGTTTGCATTTCCTGAATTTAAAGTTCTGTCTGTAAAGTATCTTAATGTCCACTTCTGGAAGGAATAAAAAGCATAATACGATTCTTGATCACTTACATTTATATTTCGGACAAAAGACTGGTCGTCTATTCTCACTTTAAAGAGAGTGAGCCCACTGGATGATGGGAATTCTGATACAAAAATCCCATGTGTCTCTGGTAGAAGTTCAGTGTCTGCTTTTCATGATAACTCTGAGTGAAATGAAAGTCATTATCAGAGATACTGACTTTAATCAGAAAGTAAACAGTTTAGGAATTTTAGCCGACAGTACAACACAAACATGCATTATACACCGTCCACAAGTTAACATTTATTTGTGTGTGTGGTGTCGAGTCTTTCGCTGTCTCCAACCCACAGACACAATCAGATAAGCGATATCTTCCCCGGTCAAGCCCTGCCAAATCTGCACTGCAGCCATCTTCACTTCCTGCTTGTCTCAGACGCTGTTTGTTGTGAGATAAATCCAAAAGGCTCGCGTTGCATCATTTCCTTCACGGTGGATAATGACAACATACAGAATCACACTGTTGTGTTAGAATCGTTTCGGCGGCTAATGGCTTTCTGTTCTCTCCTTTGGCTTCATCATTACCCACCAGTGAGAGAGCTAAGCCGCACACAAGGCGCCTTCTGTTGACAGATTGTCATTATATAGCACTTATGTGCACTTCTTGTTTCCTCAGAGCTGGTCTCGGAGTCCAACCCATCTGACCACACCCGGGCGAGCACCATCTTCCTCAGCAAGTCCCAGACAGACGGTGAGCAATGAACACACACGCACACGCACACACACACCTGAAACACATTGTTCATTGTTGAATGTCTAGCTTGGCTTTGTTGAACATTTCTCTTCTTTCACAGTACGAGACAAGAGGAAAAGCAACCACATAAATCATATCAGCCATGTAAGTGTCCCAATCTGAATATTGATCATCTGATTAGTTGAAGTGATTACATGTGCTAAGGCCCTGGAGATGAGTTTACTCTGTAGATTGGCCAGTTCAAGTTAGTTTTATGAATTAACTGGTGCTTCTCTGTCGTAGATATTTAGTGTTTTGTGTTTAATATCTTAGATAGAGGTTTTTACCAACAATAGAAGCTGTTCGTAATGTAACGTCTTCGGGAACAGCTGTCAATGAGCATAATGTCAGGCCTAGATATTTGAGATGTGGTCAACTATTTAGTTGTTAACCTCTATAGCCCTAGCCCTATTTTTAGCCCTCTGCTCGAAAATTGCATACCCATACACAAGAGAGTCCTCAGCTCTAACTACAAGGTCTATTTTAATAATTTTGAGGCTAGAATACTTGTAACACTTGTGAGATGTGTTGAATTGTGTAAATATTGTGTATATGTTACTGGTTAATAACTGATACACTTATGGCACAGCTGAAATGGAAAAAGTTCCAGGTTCGCCTGAAAAAAAGCACTTGTATTGAACATTTTTTTTTTTTTTAAATAATGCCTGGCTTGGCCTAAAAACACCTAAAAAGGAAATGCTCTATAGCGCTGCAGCATTTTTCAATGGATTAACTGTTTTTTTCCGGACAAAATCGCCAAAAGGTATGTAGATTTTAAATTTTATTTCTCGAGAGCAGTGTGTGTCTTCTTGGGGTTTCTCCTGTGGCCTTTGAATGCTTTGTCGGAGGTCTATTTGGACACGCTGGGTCGACACCGTATCGAGGCCTCGTGCGATTTCATGTATCCATCGGCCATTTTCGCTGCCGGCTTTGTGATAAAAGATGAATTTCTGCTGCATAGTTGGCGGATTTTTTGCAGAAAAATCCTGATATTGTGATAAATCTTCTAGTGTATTGAATTAGTTTGTGTATACTTGCGTAAAATGACCTGCATAATGATTTTGCTTGGACTTTTTTTTTTTTTTTTTCTCGATATTTTACATGTGTGGACCATTTTTCATATTATTTGATGAAAAGTCCATTCGGAACCTCGGTACCGGTACTTGAACCCCAAATGGGGCTCACTCGGGCTAAAGAGGGTATGGAACCGGTCCAAAAGAAATGCTAGTTCCTGGCCTGTGATGAGTTCAAGTTGTTTGATTGTGTGATTTCAACTTCTCAAGGTATCACCTGGTCCCCTGTCGAAGAAATACAGCTCCTGCTCTACGATCTTCATAGACGACAACACCGTCAGCCAGCCAAACCTCAAAAGCACAATCAAATGGTGGGAGAATCTCACACACACAGAAAAAAATGCAAACACACACACGGCCGAGTTGTCCAAAAGTCGCTCATCTCGCATGACAAAATCCCGTTGCATCACAGCGTGGTAATCCTCGAGTAATGCTTCATGGATGCGTGACTAAAACAGATGCTCTTCGGCCTAATTTAGGATAGTCCTCAGTGAGGACTTTATTTAAGTGAATTTGGAAAAACACATTTCATCAGGATTATCTCCGTGTGTTTAAATACAACCTCTTTGCTGGATGTGGGCAGATGTTTTGGTGTGACACACACACACACAGAGTATATTAGTCTCCAATTGAGATGTTTGTTATTGAAGCTTAAGGCAAAAACTACAACACATTAACACTATTTTTCTTTTCCCTCTTTCTCCAGTGTCACGTTAGCAATATACTACCACGTCAAAAACAGGTAGGTGTCTTTTTATTTGGTCTCAGCCATGAAATGAGTAAAATGTCCGTTGTTTAAAAACTGGTACGTGTGTGAAGCCTGTTGACCGATGTACCCGTGTGTTCCTTCAGGGACTCAGGCAGGTCACTGGACATCTTTGATGAGAAGTTGCACCCCTTATCAGTGAGTATGTTTTATGAGATTCCCCTCAACACTCAGCCACACTTGAATGTTGAATCTGACAGCTGGAGAACCACGAGCAATCAGCCGTAAGCCAAGATAAGAGATGGGATCTAGTTCAACAGCTTACCCCTCGATAGGGCCGTCCCAAGTAACATTTTGGGGGCTTCAGTAATTTGGGGTGGGGGGGCTATACTACTACAGGCTATACGTTACAGAAAATGCATCACCAATGGAGGCCGGCTCACTGTAGGCAAACTGTATCAACCTCTCACACGCTAAAACACACACACAGTGGAACGAGAGAGAGTTTTAGAGAAGCTTCTTATCTTTATGAGCGTCAGTCGCCGCTGCACTTCACTCTAAGAAACAGATCTCAGTCAGATATACAGCTGCTAGAACAACAGAGGTGGGAGGGGAGAGGACAGCAACACAAGCTGTCGAACTCTCTTCAAACTTTGCTGTTATTGTCTTATGAGAGATGAGGATAAAAAAAAACTGTGCAATAATAAGAACAAGTTTGCTCTCATGTTGTTCTGTGAACAAATTCACAAATAAATAAACTGTAGCCTACGTCAACATATAGGCCTTAAATGAAATACCTGGCTTGGAGTAATGCATATAAAAAACCTGATGCGTTCGATTACTGATTTGGACGTTGATTACCATGGCAACGGTCAAAGCTTTGAAGCCTTTGGGTCAGCTTTACTCCTCGAGTACGATCTGAATAAATGTCCACAGCAAAGACGTCTGGTCTGTCTCTGAAATTAGCATCTCCTTTGCTGTGGACGGTTTCTTTTTGTCCTTGCCTTCAATTATTTTCCTTGTGATTTCACGTCCAGGTGAAACGTAGTGGTGTCCCAACAAGCTGCATTCCCTCTTCTTCCTTCACATTGAGGGCTCATAGCACCTTGTGAACGGTTCAAGAACAAACGTGAACTGTAGTCAGTTATGCATCTTTAAAATGGACGTGATTCACAGCCTAAAGGAACACGAGCAGGACAAATGTGTGCTTTCTCTTGTGCTCGTTTACAAATGGTTTCCATTCAGTAGTAGACTTGTGACAAGTCGTTTGGAGGGCTTCTCCAAGCTGAGGATAACATCAAATAGAAGGGAAGTGTTAAAGAATTTGGGATAAAACTGGCACCAACATAGACGAAATCACTGTCTTTTGTTAGAAGTTACACTTCGATAGAACAATCTGCTTTTCAGCCAGCGTGATTGTGACGTTGTACATTTAAGATACATTCCATAAATGTGGCTATTGTGATTCCACGGGTAGCATACGTGATTCTTACATGAATCATTTGAAACGACGGCCTCTGATCCGAACAAAAGTAAAAGCACAAAGCAGCCCGCTGGAAGAGCACTTAGAGCAACACTTGAGCATTTTCCACTTTTCAGACATTTGTTATTGGATTTATTTTCCCCAAAAACTTTATTTACCGGTATTTGTTTTCCAGACAAATATCAGTAATACACTAAGCATCAAATTGGACTTTTAAGTTGTTACAAAACAGAAGGTCAAAGAAAGAAAAGAAACAGAACACATGTATGAGAAAGCAAACAAAACAAGATGTAAGAAAATAAATATGAGAACATCTAAGTGTGTGTACAATCGAATCATTTAAATAGACATGGTGAGGACATTGAAAAATGGTCTGAGAGTTTGTCAGTTGGGGGATGGTGTTAATAGATTTAAACACCAGAACCAGTCTCACTCTCACATCTGCACTGATTCACCAGTGCAGAAGAAGCCATCACCTCGCAGCCTTCCTGACGTGTGTGAACTGTTTGTCCCGTATAGAGAGAGCCAGTGCCGGATGACTACTCCCACGTCGACCCAGAACACAAACTGATCTACCGCTTCGTCAGAACGCTCTTCAGCGCCGCACAGCTCACGGCAGAGTGTGCCATCGTCACCCTAGTAAGTCTGTCTCTTCCTGGCGCTGTGGTCTACACACCGTGTTTGTTATTAGAACAACGATATTACTGTTGGCACTCATTGGTGAGTTTAATAGAGGTTTAGTTTAGTGCCAAATTGAGTTGAGGCGTAAAGATAGTCCAAATTTAATAAAGCATAGTTTTTGTACAAACCTAATACCTAATCAAATCAGACACTCTAGTCTGATTCTGAGGCCATTTGTAAAAAATTTAATTAATTAAATTAATTCTAAAAGAGAATTACACAGAACTACATTTGATAAAGTTCATGATCGACTTGCAGAAGAACACACAAGCAAAGTTTTAAAAAAAATTTATTCTTGTAGTTCAAACAATGATGTATTACCACAAACCGGGCACCAGAGGGCAGTAAACTGCTACAAACTGATCGGTCCCAAATGACACTTGACAAGCCAGCTTCTGTGTTATGATCACATGTCACAGTCTCTCCATCAGACATGATCAGAAAGCACCACATCATACATCTGATGTTAAAGACTGAGCACATCTGCTTTTAGAACGTGGCTCTGAAAAAGAAATGTAGAACAAAAATAATTTCTGTCACAGTTTCTTTGGTGTTTTTTTATTTAGCGTGCCTGGCAATTCTGTTTTTTCACAATGGCAAGCCGGCCCAAATTAATGTCACCACAATGTTGTAGCTTTTCACAGTTGGTAGCATGTAGTGTGTTTGATTTGTTCTGGCTTTTCCAATGAGTGCAACTACACCATCATCCTCTAAGGCAGGGGTCACCAACCTTTTTTAAACTGAGAGCTACTTCAAGGGTACCGAGTAGTACGAAGGGCTACTTATTTGATACAAACTTCCTGAATAACAAAGTTGCACAGATCACCTTTTAATAATAATATATGTGAAGAAACTGTTTGATCACATGTCAGTTAATTATTCCTCACAATAATTATTAATAATGATTTCCACAACTATGATGGTATAGCTACACATACGTATTTAAACATGCAACTTTTATTTCTGTTAATCTGTTTCAACATTTGAAAGTCAGAGGTATCACATCTCTGATATATTTGTATCATCACATGATCAAAGCCTGTTACTTTTGCACATAGCGCCTGCTGGTGAATGAGCCAGTGGGAATGTAGAAATTTTGCGACGTCTGGGTCACCTTTGCATTGCGCAATGAAGCCTGCATGCCGGCCCGTCATCGCGGGAGCCCCGTCTGTTATCACCGACACCAGCTTTTCTAATGGTACCTTTTTCTCCACGAAGAAACTAGTAACCAGTCTCGTCTATAGCGGAGCGGGGGATCCAACCCTCCGAGGCGCGCGAGCGTCTTTAGGCGCCCGCGTTCAAACCTCTAGTCTGGGCCTTTTCGGTCGGATTGCGTTGCCTCGCCTCTACCCCCGCCACCACTGAGTTGTTGCCCCGCGGCCTGTTCCGAGGATTTACGGACCTGACGACGGGGTGCGCTCGCGGCGCACGTCTGGCGCCAACGGGAAGCGCCCGCCATTCAGAACCTGAAAACCTAGTGCTGTGCGGCGGCCTCGTCCTGGCTGTCCGCCGTGCGCCACCGGGTACCCAACTCTCTTATGACAAGAAATATTGTAATTTTAAAATCTACACTAATGCAAGCGTTTTTGATTAAAAAAAGAACAGCAACTACAATTTTAGACGGAGCTCCATGGTGACTAGTGCTATTTTTGCGGGCGACTCACGTGGTCCCTGCAGGCGACAGGGTGCCCGTGGCACCGTGTTGGCTACCTCTGCTCTAAGGTGTTCCCGTTGCAACACAGTTATACTAGATACAACATTCATTAAGTAGTGGGTTAATTGTAGTACAGTTAATTGTGTATTACCACTGAAAACAGGTAGAGGGGAATTTGCTGGTACACAGTCCATGGACTTTGCTATTACCCAGGGTTCACCTGGCTGTTCTCCCAGGTAGCATATAGGGAACCAATAGGGGAATTATTCAGGATGCAAATGCCAAAGGCTTGCTGGTTCCTCACTTCAAACTTTAAATGTGAACATTCTCCTGACTCCAGGTGTACTTGGAGCGCCTGCTGACCTACGCTGAGCTGGATATCTGCCCAGCCAACTGGAAGCGCATCGTCCTGGGAGCTATCTTGTTGGCTTCCAAAGTCTGGGACGACCAGGCGGTGTGGAACGTCGACTACTGCCAGATCCTTAAAGACATCCCTGTGGAGGACATGTGAGTCTGTTTTTTTTGATATAAAAAAAAAATCCCCACTGTGAAAATGAGGAAGATGGAAACAGAAATCACTGGTGAGGGGAGGTATCATCGAAAATATTCGTCAAGCGAGAAGCCCTGTTCTGAAAGTCGATGTTAAATACTTTTAAAACGTATTTTAGATTTGAGTTTGGATTGTAGCGTTCGGAGCACGACTCTGAGGACTCGATGTTAAATTAATTTGATGTCATTCAGTCACATGACTTCACGTCACCACCTTGAAGCTAAAGGCTTGATGACGTTCGGTAGTTTCATTTAAGAAACCGCCTGTTTAAGACATTTTAAGTCATTTATTTACTGACGTATTTCATGGTGTTGGGGAAAAAAACGTTCAAATCATAAACAAATAGATTTGGGAAAGAACAGGATGTGGTGGAAACTCAAGCTGTTGTTGTAAATTACTGCCATCTAGTGGCTGTTCTTTTTGTTGTGTTGAACACTTTGTCCCAATTGACTAGTGAGATAAGTTATTATAACATTTTAAGTCAATTATTTAAATGTTACCATATGATGTTAGTGTGGCAACCTGACCCACCAGACGTTTACACAGAACAATCCGTGGCCAGTGATTGGATGAACCCGCTGTCAATCAAACTCTTCAACCAGCCACCCTGCAGGACACTGATTGGTCCGCTCACTGGCTGGACACTTGAAGCCTGACGAGATGGATTTTTGTGTTATATGTGTGGAAATATAGTGCTGGTATCACACTAGATACCACATAGACAATCTTTTTTAGAAAGCAGAATTTAAATAATGTCAATGACAGTTGTCAGGGCATAAAACCAATGATCTGTCGGTCTTAACCAATCAAAACTCGATAGTCTAACAATGACATAGCTGTCGGTGCTGTAAAGTTTGAATTGAATCGTGGATTTGGGGACACCCCTAGCAGTGCCTAGCTTTGTGTTTGTCAAGCTTGTTGGTTAATAATTGTCAGGTCCTTTCCTTAATACAGCAAAATGAAAATACATTTAAAAAAAGTGTTGTTGAGGCTGACATTTCTGAGCTCCAGATTTTTTTAACAAAGGAAGATTCATAACAAACACATTCTCGTTCTCATGCTGGCACTACATATTGCTCGCCCTCTTCATATCAGAAATATGTAGCAGAGATGCACTTAGAGCAGGCAGAAGAAGAGAAGACGGCGGTGGATGAGGGCTGCAGCATCTCTGTCCATCGGGGCTATAAGAGGCCAGGGGCTGCACTCGGACCGCCCCGGCTTTATTGTGCGAGTGTGTATAGAAGAGGTTGAAAGTGCCTCCTTGTTTTTTTGCAATTTGCAAAGGTGCACCGCCTGCATGTCCGTGAGTCAGTCTCTCTCTCTCACATATATATATATGTCTGACCCGCACTCTCTCCGCTCTGTGTTTCATTGCTGTCATTGAAGTGTCTTTGTGAGCCTGCTCGGGTCCGGGTGGACTGATATGAGAGAGAGAGAGAGAGAGAGAGAGAGAGAGAGAGAGAGAG